ATAAGAAGAAAAGAATTATGTCTGAACCATCAATTGCTAATCTTTTACAACCAACACCTCAACCGTCTCAATTACAACAAGAAGGTTTAATAAGCTTTTTCTGGGATATTGAAAATGTACCTATACCAAAAGCTCAAAAACCTTTTGATATTGTTCAACGTATTCGACAAAAATTAGTTGTTGAAGCTGGTTTACGAGAATATAGTTTTTCATGTTTTTGTAATAGTACAACTATATCTCAAGATAATCAACTTAGTTTATTTCATGGTAATGTTCGTATTGTTCATGTACCTGATCGTAAACCTGGTGCCGTTGATCGTCAAATCATGCTTGAATTAGATCGTTTTGAACGAGCTCATCGTCCTCCTGCAACTATTGTACTTATTTCTGGTGATATTGATTTTGTTGGAAAATTGAGTGATCTTCGTCATCAAGCAAGATTTCATGTAATTGTTATTCATAATAAGCCAGCAAAAGCAGAATTAAAACAAACAGTAAATGCTCATTATGCATGGGAAACATTTACTGATCCACCATCATTGATGACTGAAGCTATCATTCATAACAAGCCAGTAAATGCTCATAATGCAAGGCGGGAAGCAACTACTAATCCACCATCATTGATGACTGAAGCTATCAGTTCTAATAGTTTAGTAAATGAATTAACAAGACGACCACCACAATCATATCGAATGAATAATCAAAATAACAATGGTAATCTACGCCAAGTAGATCCATCACCAAATCGTTCATCTCCATCTGCTAAATCCCGACCACCTACAGCAAAAAAACAACTTCATAAATGTCCAAAATGTCCAGATGAATTTGGATCTATCCAAGCTTTACGACAACATCAAGATGCAAAAGATCATCTATTCGATTGTCCAATATGTGATGAAAATTTTACAACACTAGATGGAATAACTCAACATCAAAAAGCTAAAGGTCATTATGAAGCAGAATATCAATGTGAACAATGTACTCGTCGTTTTACTAAACTTGATGGTTTAAATCAACATCAAAGAGCAACAGGTCATAATGGATTAAATATTCAAACATCATCAGTTACTAATGGATTTATTCGTGAGTCAACACCTCCATTGATACTTCCACAAAGAAATATGAGTATGCCGAATACTATGCAAGGTGCAGCAATGTCTATTATTTTACAAGGCATTGAAGCTCTTGTTCAACATTATCCAAAACAAAAATAAACAAAAAATCAATCTTTTACTA